TCAAGACCAGCCTGAACAACATGGTGAAACCCTGTCTCTACTGCAAATACAAAAATTAGCTGGGCGGTAGTGGCACACACCTGTAATCTCAGCTACTTGGGAGGCTGAGGCAGGAGAATCACTTGAGTCTGGGAGGCAGAGGGTGCGGTGAGCCAGTCTGGGTGACAGAGTGAGACCGTCTCAAAAAAATTTTTTTCTTGTTTTTGTTTTTTGTTTTTTTGAGACGGAGTCTCACTCTGTCACCCAGGCTGGAGTGCAGTGGTACGATCTTGGCTCACTGCAACTTCTACCTCACAGGTTCAAGAGATTCTCCTGCCCCAGCTGCCCAAGTAGCTGGAATTACAGGCGCCCGCTACCATGTCCGGCTCATTTTTGTATTTGTAGTAGAGACAGGGTTTCACTATGTTGGCCAGGCTGGTCTCAAACTCCTGACCTCAGGTGATCCACCCACCTCGGCCTCCCAAAATGCTGGGATTACAGGCCTGAGCCACCACTCCCGTCCTTAAAAAAATGTTTTAAAAAATAAAACAGGTTTTTTTTAAAAAAGACACACACAGATTGTTCCATCCAGCATAGTCCATCCTCACCTTTCCACTGGAGACGGATCTCGCTAGCTCAACTGGCCTCTTCTGGAGGACAGAGCCACTTCCTCCCTGAGCCCACGCAAGAGCTAGGAGCCCAGAGACCTGAAATCAGCTGTACCATCCTTCCCCCAGGAGGCCAAGAAGGAGAGTCTTGCCCCCTCTTACCAAAAGTCAACAGGAAACGAAATGAAAGTTTCTTTCTTTTTTTTTTTTTTTTGAGATGGAGTCTTGCTCTGTTGCCCAGGCTGGAGTGCAATGGCGCAATTGATCTTGGCTCATTGCAACCTCTGCCTCCCAGGTTCAAGTGATTCTCCTGCCTCAGCCTTCTGAGTAGCTGGGACTATAGGTGCATGCCAGCACACTCGGCTAATGTTTTGATTCTTTTTTTTTTTTTGAGATGGAGTCTCGCTCTGTCACCCAGGCTGGAGTGCAGTGGCGTGATCTCGGCTCACTGCAAGCTCTGCTTACCGGGTTCACGCCATTCTCCTGCCTCAGCCTCCCAAGTAGCTGGGACTACAGGCACCCACCACCACGCCCAGCTAATTTTTTGTATTTTTTTTTTTAGTAGAGACAAGGTTTCACTGTGTTAGCCAGGATGGTCTCCATCTCCTGACCTCGTGATCCACCTGCCTCAGCCTCCCAAAGTGCTGGAATTACAGGCGTGAGCCACGGCACCCGGCCCATTTTTTTGTATTTTTAGTAGAGACAGGGTTTCACCATGTTAGCCAGGATGGTCTTGATCTCCCGACCTCGTGAACCTCCCGCCTCGGCCTCCCAATGTGCTGGGATACAGGCGTGAGCTACTGCGCCCGGCCGAGATGCAACTTTCATATGAGACCTCTTCTTGTTTCCTCTTTACTTAGAGATTTCTAGCACTGAGTATCCCGCTAGTTGCAAGTGATTGGAACTGAACTCTAAACAGCCTTAAATTTTTAAAAATTTATTTATTTACTTACCCATTTGTTTGTTTATTTTTGAGACAGGGTCTCACTCTACTGCCCAGGCTGGAGTGAGGTGGCACCATCATGGCTCACTGCAGCCTCCACCCCCATGGGCTCAACTGATCCTCATACCTCAGCCTCCCAAGTAGCTGAAACTACAGGCACGTGCCACATGCCTGGCTACATTTTTGTGTTTTTCGAAAAAAGATGGTGTCTTGTTATGTGGCCCCAGGCTGATCTCCAACTCCTGAGGTCAAGCAATCTACCCACCTCAGCCTCCCAAAGTGCTGGATTACAGGCGTAAGCCACCGTGCCTGGTCAATTTTTATTTCTTTTTAGAGGCAGGGTCTTGCTCTGTCATCCAGGCTGCAGTACAGTGATGTGATCGTAGCTCACTGCAGCCTCAGACTCCTGGGTTCAGGTAATTCTCCCACCTCAGCCTCCGGAGTAGCTAGGACTGCAGGTGTGTACCACCATGCTCTGCTAATTTTTTTTAAAGACAGGGTCTGGCTTATGCCTCTAATCCCAGCACTTTCAGAGGCTGAGGTGGGTGAATCACCTGAGGCCAGGAGTTTGAGAACAGCCTGGCCAACATGGCAAAACCCCATCTCTACAAAAAAAAAAAAAAACATACAAAAATTAACCATGTGTGGTGGTGTGCACCTGCAGTTCCAGGTACTCGGGAGGCTGAGGCAGGAGAATCACTTGAACCCAGGAAGCAGAGGTTGCAGTGAGCTAAGATAGAGCCATTGCACTCCTGTGTGGTGACAGAGTGAAACTCCGTCTCGGAAAAAAAAAGAAAAAAAAAAAAAAAAGACAGGGTCTTGCGCTGTTGTCCAGGCTGTCTTGAACTCCTGGGCTCAAGTGATCCTCCTGTCTCGGTCTTCCAAAGCACTGAGATTACAGGCATGAGCCGCCTCATCCAGCCAAACAGGCTTTAAAAAACAACCACCAAAAAGAGGAATGTAGGAGCCTGTGTTCCTGAGAAGTCCTTTTGTCAAATGTAAGTTGGGTGCATTTCAGGCACAGCTGGATCCAGGAGTTCGGATGATGTCGTAAGAACTGATCCGCCACATGGTGGCAACATGGCTGCCAGCAGCCCCAAACCTTCGAAGTCCATACAGCTAACAGACCCACAGAAAGACGGTTCTCTCTCAGGATCAACATATCAACTCTGCAGGGGCTCTGAAAAGCCCTCTGTGGGACACAGAGGACAACAGCTGAGATACAGTGATTGGCCAGCCTGGTCAATGCCCACCCCTGCCACCAGGGCCAGTACATAAATGTTTCTTCCCCAAATCCCAGGGTATAGGAAAGAGGACATCAACCCACTCCACCTCCTACAATATGAGTGAGGGGAAGCCAGGGAGGGCATTCTCAAGCCAGGCAGGAGACGTCTGGACAGAGGTTTGAAGCTTTGCCTGAGGTGTGTGGGGAGCCTCTGTGGAGAGAGCCTTGGATGGGGGCCTGAGGGCAACCTGGCTCTGCCATTTCCCAGCTGTGTGACCTTGAGTTACGGCCCTCTCCTGTCTCAAGGTGCAAACACAGCACATGCTGGGTCTGAGGAAGTTTCTAAATTCTCCCGCAGGCTGGGTGCAGTGGCTCACGCGTGTAATCCCAGCACTTTGGGAAGCTGAAGAAGGAGGATCGCTTGAGCCCAGAAGTTTGAGACCTGTCTGGGCAACAGAGTGAGACCCTATTTCTATAAAACTTTTTTTAAAAATTAGGTGGGCATGGGGGTATGCGCCTGTGGTAGCACCCACTCGGGAGGCTGAGGCAGGAGGATGACTTCAGCTTAGAAGGTCGAGTCTGCAGTGAGATATGATGACGTTTCTGCATTCCAGACTGGGCGACAGAGTGAGACTCTGCCTCTAAAAAATAAAGCAAAATAAAATAAAGCCCCAGAGGCTGGGCGCTGTGGCTCACACCTGTAATCACAGCAATTTGGGAGGCCGAGGCAGGTGGATCACCTGAGGTCAGGAGTTGGAGACCAGCCTGGCCAATCTGGTGAAACCCTGTCTCTACTAAAAATACAAAAAGTAGCTGGGCGTGGTGGTGGGCACCTGTAATCCCAGCTACTCCAGAGGCTGAGGCAGGAGAATCGTTTGAACCCGGGAGTCAGAGGTTGCAGTGAGCCGAGATCACACCACTACACTCCAGCCTGGGCGACAGAGTAAGACTCCGTCTCAAAAATAAAATAAAATAAAATAAAGTCCCAGAGATATGAATGGTCTCTGGGAGACCATTCTGCTCCAACATTCTGGGCTTCAGGAAGTGTGTGATTCATGCCAGATACTGAAAGGGAATTTTGGTAGATGGAGAGGGGTAGGAAGAGGGATTAAGGTGTAGGAAATGAGGAGGGCCCATGGAAGCCAAGTATATTTTGTAAGATAGTAAAACAGATCTGTGGAAGCAGGCGGGGCCCATGGAAAAGGGTGTGGCCACATTAGTTAAAATCCAAGGCCCCAGGCCGGGTGCGGTGGCTCACGCCTGTAATCCCAGCACTTTGGGAGGCCGAGAGGGGCGGATCATGAGGTCAGGAGATGGAGACCATCCTGGCTAACACAGTGAAACCCCGTCTCTACTAAAAAAAAAATACAAAAAATTAGCTGGGCATGGTGACAGGGGCCTGTAGTCCCAGCTATCAGGAGGCTGAGGCACAAGAATGGCGTGAACCCGGGAGGCGGAGCTTGCAGTGAGCAGAGACGGTGCACCACTGCACTCCAGCCTCCATGACAGAGGGAGACTCCATCTCAAAAAAAAAAAAAAAAAAAATTCCCAGGCACTCAAAAGAAAACTTTAAGGAAGGGTCACTTTTCTTTTACACCTCCTCCCCAATTTTGTTTTTCGTTTAAAAAAAAAAAAAAATAGGCCAGGCATGATGGCTCATGTCTATAATCCTAGCATTTTGAGAGGCCAAGGCAGACGAATCACCTGAGGCCGGGAGTTCAAGACCAGCCTGGGTAACATGGTGAAACACTGTCTCTACAAAAAATACAAAATTTAGGCAAGCCTGGCATGGTGGCTCACGCCTGTAATCCCAACACTTTGGGAGGCCAAGGCAGGCAGATCACCTAAGGTCAGGAGTTCGAGACTAGCCTGACCAATATGGAAAGACCCTATCTCTACTAAAAATACAAAATTAGCCAGGCATGGTGGTGCATGCCTGTAATCCCAGCTACTTGGGAGGCTGAGGCAGGAGAAATGCTTGAACCCAGGAGGCAGAGGTTGTGGTGAGCAAGATCACGCCATTGCACTCCAGCCTGGGCAACAAGAGCGAAACTCCATCTCAGAAAAAAAGAACAGACAGATGGAAGGGAATTGAGACAAAGACAGAGTCAGAGGGAGGAGGCAGGATAAGTAGAGGCCTTCAGTGGCCCATGCCCTGGGCCTTTGAGTGGCTTTGGAGCCACGGACAGGGCTGCAAGGAAATCCATATTCTGTCTCCAGTTGCAGGTGCATGGCCACCACTGCCATGCCGGCCACCAACCAGGGCTGGCCGGAGGACTTTGGCTTCCGGCTAGGTGGCTCCGGCCCCTGCTTCGTCCTGGAGGTGGCCGAGGGAAGCAGCGCGCATGCCGGAGGACTGCGGCCAGGGGACCAGATCCTGGAGGTGGAGGGGCTGGCAGTGGGTGGTCTGAGCCGCGAGCGCCTCGTGCGCCTGGCACGGCGCTGCCCACGTGTGCCGCCCAGCCTGGGTGTGCTCCCAGGTCCCGACGGTGGCCCCGGCCCGGAATCCGGCCCCGCGGCCCCAACCACAGTCTTGCGGGCCCCGCGGTGCGGCCGCGGCCTAGCTCTGGGCCGTGAGCTGCTTCGCTTGGCTGGCCGCAAGCGCCCGGAAGCGGTGTACCGAGAGCGCAGGCGCAAGGCCCAGGAGTTCAGCCGCAAGGTAGGGCGCTGGGGGAAGGAGGAGCTGGAGAGACCTGCAGCGAGACGGACGTGGGAGCGGGGAAAAGGGGCGCTGGGGGGAGGGGCTCATAATGTGGGCGGGGAGTGGGCGGGCGCCGCTCCCCTAGGGCCAAAGGTAAGGAAACTTAAGGGGTCAGATTTAAGAGAAATGTGAGAGTGCTCAACTTCAAAACCTTGCATCTAATTTTGCTTTTTTTTTTGAGACAAGAGTCTCACTCTGTCGCCCAGGCTGGAGTGCAGTGGAGAGATCTTGGCTCACTACAACCTCTGCCTCCCGAGTTCAAGTGATTCTCCTGCTTCATTCTTCAAGTAGCTGAGATTACAGGCGTTTGCCACCACACCCAGCTAATTTTTTGTTGTTGTTGTTGTTTCACCATGTTGGTCAGTCTGGTCTCAAACTCCTGACCTCAAGTGATCTGCCCGCCTCGGCCTCCCAAAGTGCTGGGATTACAGGCATGAGCCATTGCGCCCGGCCTAATTTTGCAATTTTTATTCACTTGTTTTTTTTATTTTTATTAACGTACTATAGGTGTAAAGTGCATTAAGTGTACAGCTCAATAAATTTTCCATATGCATACACCCTTGAATAACCACCCTCGTAATCAATATATAAAATAATAGGATATAGATAAAAATATAATGTGGACTATAGAATAATTGACACCAGAAGGGTCCCACGTGCCCCTTTCCCTGTCTATCCTCCCCATTAAAACTTAACTGCAGGCCAGGTGCTAGGTGTAATCCTAGCATTTTAGGAGGCCAAGGTGGGAGGATCACTTGAGACCCTGAGTTCAAGGCCAGCCTGGGCAACATAATGAGACACCATCTCTACAAAAAAAAATCAAAACCTAGCTGGGCATGGTGGTGCGTGCCTTATAGTCCCAGCTACTCAGGAGGCTGAGGCAGGAAGATCACTTGAGCCTGGGAGTTTGAGGCTGCAGTGAGCTATGATTGCACCCCTGCATTCCAGCCTGGGTGACAGAGTGAGACCCCGTCTCTAAAATGAAAAAATAAAATAAAAAGAGCCACAGATATTGCTTCTTGGCCCTTCATCTAAGATCAAATGTAAAAGAGCCAGTGGGGTGAGGTGACTCACGCTTGTAATCCCAGCACTTTGGGAGGCCGAGGAGGGCTGATGACTTGAGCTCAGGAGTTTGAGACCAGCCTGGGCAGTGTGGTGAAATCCCATCTCTATAAAAAAAAATATATATATATATATATGTATATATATATGTGTGTATATATATGTGTGTATATATGTGTGTGTGTGTATATATGTGTGTGTATATATATATAAAAGCAGTCAAGTGTGGTGGCTCACGCCTGTAGTCCCAGCTACTCAAGGGGGTTGAGGTGGGAGGATTAATTGAGCTTGGGAGGTGGAGGTTGCAGTGAGCTGACATCAAGCTACTGCACTGCAGCCGGGGTGACAGAGTGAGACTCCGTTCCCCCCAACCAAAAAAAAAGTGTAAAAGAGTCACACCTGTTCTAAGCCCCCACAAAACCAGGATTAGGCCTGCCCTTGCACAGCGGCCTCTCTGGCTTGTTGGCTGCAGGAGGCCCTAGTTTGGGTTCACTTCCAAAGGCATTTCCTCTTGACTTTGGCACAAACCAGGCTGTGATAGGTTGCAGGTGGAATATTAGAGTGGCCCTGAAGATTAAGAATCAGGAGCTTGGAATGGATCAGACCTCCAGCCACAAGAAGAACCCAAGACCTGAGTCACCTGCAGGAAGTGGGGAGTGGCCACAAGGCAAGATGGAGGCACCATTCAGAGACCCAGGGCTGGGATGGAAAGAGGGAGGATGGAGTTGGTCTCAGGCCTGAATTTCAAGCAACCCCTGATTTGCAGGAACCTGCCATTTGCTGGACAGATCCAGGCAATTCCAAGAAACCTGGGATGTGACACGGTTATAAAAGAAGAAGCTGACTAGTATGGTCACATCTACCGCAGGCCACCAACAAGGTCCCCGTACAGCAACCTCCCACACCACTCGCCTTCACTCCTATCCTCTAGGGCTTTCAGATGGGATCCCAAGGCCTTTATTTCACTAATACTTGAATGGAACCAAAAGTGAGCCTGTGTGCGACTAGGAAATAGTCCAGAGCCACAACACTCGGTCCCTACCCCTGCCTGGGCATCGGGCCCCTGTGGACGTGAAGCCTGGAAACTCAGTATTTGCTTGGCGGCTGAGACACTTGAGCTCATAGACTTTTTTTTTTTCTTTTTTGAGACAGAGTCTCGTTCTGTCACCCAGGCTGGAGTGCAGTGGTGCAATCTCGGCTCACTGCAACCTCCACCTCCCGAGTTCAAGTGATTCTCCTGCCTCAGCCTCCCGAGTAGCTGGGATTACACGTGTGGGCAACCAGGCCCAGCTAATTTTTTTTTTTTTTTTGGTATTCTTAGTAGAGATGGGGTTTCACCATATTGGCCAGGCTGGTCTTCAACTCCTGACCTCGTGATCCACCTGCTGCGGCCTCCCAAAGTGCTGGGATTACAAGTGAGCCACCACTCCGGCTGACTTTTTTTACATTATTTTCATTTTTAATTTTTGTAGGTACCTAGTAGATGTATATATTTATGGGGTATCTGAGATATTTTGATACAGGCATGCAATGTGAAATAAACATGTCATGGACAATGGGGTACCCATCCCCTCAAGCATTTATCCTTTGAGTTATAAGAAATCCATCTACACTCTTTAAGTTTGTATTTATTTTTTTTGGAGATGGAGTCTCACTCTGTTACCCAGACTGGAGTACAGTGGTGCAATCTCAGCTCACTGCAACCTCTGCCTCCCGGGTTTAAGCAATTCTCCTGCCTCAACCTCCCAAGGAGCTGGGATTACAGGAGCCCACCACCATGCCTGGCTAATTTTTGTATTTACAGTAGGGACACGGTTTCACTATGTATGTTGTCCAGGCTGGTCTCGAACTCCTGACCTCAGGAGATCTGCCTACCTCGGCCTCCCAAAAGTGCTGGAATTATAGGCATGAACTACTGTGCCTGGCCTAAGTTATTTTAAAATGTACAATTAAGTTATTATTGACTATAGTCACCCTGTTGTGTTATCAAGCTCACAGACTTTTCCTCCGCAGAAGGGAATCTGCTCAGTTCTGCCCCAGCAACACTTGGCCGTCAGGTTTGGGAGGTCAGGGAGCCTGGAAACTCTGTTGGAGTTTGACTATTGCAGAAATGCCTCCCAGCCCACTGCCCAGGCATCAGGTCCCCACCCACTCTGGCCTCCTCCAGTGCCCAAGCTTGGTCCAGTCCTAACCCCTTCCAAATTAACCCCCTCAGGAGTGTCTCCTCTATCATGTATCCTAGCCTGATCCCCCGAATGGGCTTTTCTGACCCTGAGCAGACCAGCCTCTGTGGCCAGGTACACACGCTCATATACACACAGGACTCAACTCCAGCTTCCCTCCATCACCAATGTCCAGATCTTCCAAAGCTGTGACTTTCTTCCTGTACCCACAACAGGCTCTGCTGCTATAACAAACAAACTCAATATTTTTTGTTGTTGTTGTTGTTGAGACAGGGTCTAGCTCTGTTGCCCAGGTTGGAGTGCAGTGGTGCAATCATAGCTCACTACAGCCTCCAACTCCTGGGCTCAAGTGATCCTCCTGCCTCAGCCTCTCTAGTAGCTGGGACCACAGGTATGCACCACCACACCTGGCTGATTTAAAAAAAAAAAAGATTGGAGAGATGAGGTCTTGCTATGTTGCCCAGGCTAGTCTCAAACTCCTGGCCTCAAGCAGTTCTCCTGCCTCAACCTCCCAAAGTGCTGGAATTATAGGTGTGAGCCACTATGCCTGATCCAAAATCAACATCTCAGTGCCTTTGCACTACAGAAGTTTACTTTTCAACCAGAGTCCACTAGGGGGTCAGGAGACCTTCTAGGGTGGCTTGATGTCCAAATGAGGTCTCAGTATTTCAGACTCCTCCATCTCGATGTGAAGCTTCAGGGTTCCCTATGGAAGAGGAAGAGAGCATGGAAAATTGTGCATCTGCTGTTAGGACAGCACCTGTCCTCAGTGCTCATTGGTCAGAACTGGTCACACTGCTGTTCCCTAAGGATGCTGGGAAATGTAGTCTAATGTGTGTCCAGAAAAGAGGAAAGACCTAGAAATATTGGTGAGTGTAAGTAATGCCTGCTACAATCCCGGATCACCTGCCATGGAACCAAAGGTCTATCCCAGACCCCATCTAATCCCTGCAGCATTGGAAGGGGGCACGTTCAGAGCCCCAAACAGGGCAGGATGCGAAACAAGACCTGCCTAAGAGCAGGGCTGGGCAGCACCCCGCTGAGGGTAGAATCTGACAGGCTGCCCAGGCCACTTGCAGTGTGTTTTCAGGCAAGGAGGAACAAGGGAGTGGAGGATTTCGGTTAGGGCTTGCTTGGCACCCACAAAAGCTGAGAGTGAATCTCCAAAAATGACTGCCTCGGGAAGATGAAGGGCCTCCGTGGAGCCCAGTTGGTTTTCTATTTTTTTCTTTTTCGAGACAGAGTTTCACTCTTGTTGCCCAGGCTGGAGTGCAATGGCGTGATCTCGGCTCACTGCAACCTCCACCTCCTGGGTTCAAGCAATTCTCCTGCCTCAGCCTCCCAAGTAGCTGGGATTACAGGCTTGCACCACCACGCCCGGCTAATTTTGTATTTTTTTAAGTAGAGACCGGCCAGGCTTGGTGGCTTGGCTGGGCACAGTGGCTCACACCTATAATCCCAGCATTTTGGGAGGCCGAGGCAGATGGGTCACCTGAGGTCAGGAGTTCAAGTAGAGATGGGGTTTCACCATGTTGGTCAAGCTGGTCTCAAGCTCCTGACCTCAAGTGATCCGCCTGCCTCTGCCTTCCAAAGTGCTGGGATTACAGGCATGAGACACTGCGCCGGACTGGTTGGTTTTCAATCACCAGCCCTCCAGTTGTCGCCTGCGCTCTCTGCCTGCCCCAGTTTTTCCTCCTTGAAGTGGCTGATATT